TAGGTTTTAAGATTCCTACCAGTCAGGTCTATTCCTATGCGTTGAATATGGGGTGTTGAGTCCATTTCGTGGAGCAAGGACTCCGCCTCCCGCAATCTCTGCCCGCGAAGGGGCTTCCTAGTGTGTGGAGACCTTTCCTCCTTCACAGCTCCCTCCCACTGGTGCAGGTGCCGTCCCTATTCTATTGTCTCTGTTTTTAATTAATTTTTTCTTTTGCCCTACCCAGATACGTGGGGAGTTTCTTGCCTTTTGGGAGGTCTGAGGTCTTCTGCCAGCATTCAGTAGGTGTTCTGTAGGAGCTGTTCCACATGTAGATGTATTTCTGGTGTATTTGTGGGGAGGAAGGTGATCTCCGCGTCTTACTCCTCCGCCATCTTTCCCTTTCTACTCATTTTTAAAAGTGCACTGCCAGCCAAGTACAAGCGTGGCCACTGCTGCAGCCTTCTCAGTTGCTCTCGTGTCCCTTGCACAGCTCAGCAGGCTCCCTGCCCTCTCTCTGGGGTGGGGGTAAGCCTCTCCTGCCATCCCATCCCACTCTTGCTTGCTAGAGCTGGTCCAGTCTTTTCACCTTATCCATGACCCACTGTATGTAGTAAGGTCTGAAACACAGCGGTCCATTAAACTATCTTTAATACAAGGCTGTGGAATAGGATAAAGGTGATATTTTTGCAGTAGAATAAAATCTGCTCAGATAATTGCCATACCTATCTGTTTTTCTTTTGCGTGGATGCAAAATCAAATTTCAGAATGAAGGAGGCTCTTGGAATGCAAAATCAGCCTGTAAATTGGATTCTACGTCCACCCTAGAACCAACACACGGGTAGGAAGGTAAACCCTGCCCTGGAGTAGGTCACCCTCAAGAAAGGCCATGCAAACCGCTTTCAAAGACGCATTTGCAATTTGCTCAGCTGCCTTTGGGAGGCGATAGCTCTGTGACAGGAAAACGGATTTGTCTGCAGAGATCCACCAGTGCACTTTCCCTTAACTGGAGCTGGAGTCCTGTTCTGAGGCACTGAGATCATGGCAAGAGGACCATGGGAAACAAAGTGGTAACCCCTAGCTCCATTCCAGAGCCCCAGAAGGGCATATCCAGCATAAGGGTTTCCCACAGGTGGTACCCAGAGCTGTTTCCAGGATATAGAAAAAAGGGAGGCTGTGGGGGTCAGGCAGTGGTCCCTCTCCCATCTGCCATCTGCCATCCACCCCGCTTCTACCCCCTGGAGGTCAGATGTGACCTCTTTTGTCCTCTGGGCACAGAGGGAGGGGTGACTAGGTTTACCAGTGGGGACCCAGGCCCTCCCCTTTCCAAGTCCCAGAAGCATTTGTATCTGGAAAGAGGTACAAGCCCTTCTGCTAAACAAAGTTTCACCCTCTACACTAGTGGTATATGAACCCCTCTTTTTCAACCCGGAAGTTACATGGAAGTCAAGTACAAAAGAGAGCAAGATGGAGGTTCTTGGCTGTAAGACGGCCAGAGGCCAGCAGCCCCCACTACCTGGGCCCTCACTATGGCCCGAGAACACTCCACAAATGGGCTAAAAACCATGGCTTGGGCCTCATAGGTGCCCAAGGTCCAAGCAATCACAGGGCAGAAAGGAACCTTCTGGGACTTCTAATCTAAAAGCTCTTAACCTGCATTTCCCAGATTTAAACCTGATGCTAGGCCTCACCCCCATTAATCCCCAACCCCATTCTTCTGAGGTGGGTTCAGGCACTGAAGCCCTCCATCCACTGGGCCCTCCCCCCAATTCTAGTCCAAACCCTTCAGAGAAGGAAAAGCCCACCCAGAGAGGCAAAGCTCCGCTGGAGGGAGGGGCTGGTTTCTCAGGACTGCTCCCTGCAGTGGGGAGCTGCTAGTGGAGGGGAGCAGGGTACCTGTGGAGCAGGGCAGCAGGAGGTCCATGACCACCGAGTCGGCCCCCTTGGTGTAGACGTTGATCTCGTCCGTGAGTGGGTGCCGGATCACCACTGACATCCTCTTGCGGATGGAGTCGAAGCCCAGCGTGTGCAGGAGCTCGAAGGTGAGCCTGCCCAGGTGGGGCAGCTCTACCGACACCTGGTCGTGCAGTCGGTCCACGAGCGCGCAGCTGTAGGCGCGGGCGGCGTAGACGAGAGCTGCCTCGTCAGGGCTCTCAGCCTCGTAGCGTAGCTCCCGCTCGGGCTCAGGCTCCTGCGCTGAGCACTCAGGTGCCCAGCCGTCTGCCCTGCTGCTGTAGCCATTGCTGGCAAGGCCTGGGGCCGGCGGGCCCAGCCTCTCCTCCAGCCGGAACAGCGTGCCGTCGTTGGCCAGCGTGGACAAGAGGCTGGACTTGTGCGCCGACTTGTTGGTGGCCATGCTCCCAATGCTGCTGCAGCCCGAGGCCAGGCGGCTGGGCGTGAACCTCCGGAGGAAATCTTCTATCGTCTTCACCGGGGACTTCAGCTCGAAGCGCACCCTCACCTGCCAGCGAAGTAGTCGGAAGACAGGTTAGGTGTCTCCCAAGAGCCCTCACCCTGACTCCCTTAGGGCCGCCCTCCACTTCCCCAGGGGGGCCTGAATACGGATTTCCCATTTCCCACTGAAAACTGCAACCAGAGTCAGCATTTCTTCCTTGAGACTATCGCTTGGCCTCTTCCTGTTCACCTCAACACAGGTTCTGCCATATTCACTCTTTCAGGATGTGACTGTAGAGTAGCAATGACCAAGGCCCGGGATGGACTCAGGGCATTGGGTGGCCTGTGGTTCCCAAGGCTTTGGGACTGTCCCCTCACTGCAGTGGCCCATGGCTTTACAGAAACTTCCCAGGAGTGGGCCTGCCACTGCCTGGCATGAACCCTGGTTTTGTTTTTTTTTTTTTCAATTAAAAAAAGCATTTAACAAAAGACCAATTTATACATTCCTTTGAATTATGTCCATAAAAAACTTAAATTTACACAAAATTTCCCAAACCCAAAAGAATCTTTCTAAACAAATGAAATATATAGGCAAATTCAGGCTCCAAATCCTTAAACAAATGTTTAAAAAATCACAATAAATTGTATATTTTCTAAAGAGGACTGAAAACAACAAAATGACATGTATACAATTGTTAAAGTTTCAAAAAGCTCAATATGGAGCAACAAAGCAACACTTTATTTAAATGAGTGCTGTATGCTAATGATGATACAATATACCTATTTTAATTTTCTGCTAGATAATGGATTTAGAGCAAATGTTGAAACAATCAAACCATTGAATTACAGTTACCCCTTAATCTTTGCAATTTTGTCCATGGGTCTGAAGTTGTGAATTATAGTAAGAGCCTCCAGAAAAGTCAGGCATTTGGAAAAACAAGGCACACAGGACCAATTTTGATAAAGATGCTTTTTCTTTGGTCTTCTACTGACTTTAAATATTGCTACATATCCAAGCGGGAGATTCGGGCAGCCATGCCAGAGCTCCTGCTAGCTCCAAACGCCCTTGAAGGTAGCACCCACCCATACGTGGGCACAGAAATGCATCCAGAGACACGTTCATGTGCAGTCTGAGGATTCTGCTCCCTACATGGAACTCACTCCATGTGTGACTATGGGCACACACCTCAGTCATGTCGGGGTCTCTCTCACTTATTCAGTAATTGCAACAATGCCCAGGTCAGTCAGGTAGGGTCTAACCTAGAAACCAGACCCCTCTTCAAGGAAGTATTCCAGAGGGACTGAACAGGGTGGCGGAAGAACCCAGAGGCCAGACGAGGGATGCCGAGGCTGCTGAGAGGTGAACTGCAAAAGGAAGCAGCCTCCATCCAGGGCTGATGGCACAAGCCTGTGGTCTCTGAGTGGCAGAGCCCGTCCACCTGGGATCCGCCAGGCCCACTGGGGCCTCCAAAGGCCGGTGGGGTATGAGCAAGAGCACAGGGGGGTCACATTGCTGCCAGATATGCTGCTGCCGCAGAGAGTGCAGAGGCCCCTTGTTCACCCTCCATCACACCAATGGCTTCACCAGCAGAACCTGCTGGAAGGGCCCAGGAGGAGGGGAAGGGGTCTGGGAGAGTGGGGGGTCAGGGGACAGGCCTACAGTGTGCATCAGCCCTAGAACACCTTCATTTGTATCCATTTAAAGTTCCCTAGCTGCATGACACACAGCCATGCTTAGGTGCACCCCACCCCGTGCAACACCACCTGGTCCACCCGCAGGAGCGCTTGAGTTATAGAGGTTCCTTTCACATATAAAACCTTACTCTCTTTGGAGAGAACCTTGATGTTAACCCAAACAAAACCCAGCTTGGTGTTGCTATGTTTCTACTGCCCAAAGTAACTTCCCACTGATTCTCAACCACTTCCTGAGTGCCAGTGTTAAAGGCCTTTATTAACATCAAATACATTTACTATGTGCCAAACTCTACTCTGAGACCTTTCCCTAAATCCCACCACCACCCCCACATCCCAGACAAGGTGCCAAAGACACAGGAGGGGACCAGCTTATAGTGTCGTCAGGATGCAAGTCCAGGCGGCTCCTCCCACAGTCTGGGCCTCAGCCCATCCTGTCCCCTCTCATGTAAGAATCTAGGACCCTGAGGCTCTGGTCGGCATGGAGGGCAGTCACCCTCCTGCCACTGCCCACCTTGGGCCACGCCTGTATGCTCTGTGCCCCTCTCATCCTGGGCTCAGTAGCTGGCTCTGGCTGGCTGCCACAATCCTGGCACCTGCCCACTGCAGTCTGAGGATGTCACCACAGAGCTACCGAGCTGGCCTGCCCCGTCTGAAGCCCCAAGTGCACCCCCTGAAACCTGAGAGGGGTGCGGAGCGACCGGCCTCCTGCAAGACAGGGAAGCGTACTCCCTCTCAGGAAGACTGACACCAGTGGGGCCACACCTAGGGGCAGGGGCTCTGCAGGCTCACAGTACGATGCTCCAGAACTTGCCTTTTGTCGTGGCTGATCCGGGGATGTGACCACCACTGTGTTGCAGATGGTGAGTGCAATGAAGAAGTCGAAAATGTCAGACAGCTCAGGCGAGAGGTGGGCCAGTGGGTGCTCCTGGTGCCTTGCAAAGGCCAGGCACATGTCACACTCACTCACCTTCTCGAGCAGCTTCGGGTCGGGCGTTATGTCCTTCTCCTGGGAAGAACACAGGGGCCAAAGGGTCAGTCTGACCCAGTGACCTGCCAAGTGTCCTTTTAGTGCTTGACTATGTAAGGCACCTTGATATTACTAGAAGCTGTAAACAGACCTTCACCTCATATATACACATGTCATTTTATAATTACAAATTATGTATAATCTTGATTGTATAAGAATATACAGCCAACATGAAATGAAATGCATATATTCTTATATATAAGAAAGTACTCATGTTCTTTTTATAAAATAATACCTCCAAGAATATATATTATTATAAAAGTAACATATCTTACTCAGAAAGATTTGGAAAAATAAGAGAATAATAGGGAAAATGTAACAGATCTCTATCACACCACCTCACAGTAATATATACTTTTTTAAAAAACATGCTTCTCGGGCTTCCCTGGTGGTGCAGTGGTTGAGAGTCCGCCTGCCAATGCAGGGGACGCGGGTTCGTGTCCCGGTCTGGGAAGATCCCACATGCTGTGGAGCGGCTGGGCCCGTGAGCCATGGCCGCTGAGCCTGCGCGTCCGGAGCCTGTTCTCCGCAATGGGAGAGGCCACAAAAGTGAGAGGCCCACGTACCGCAAAAAACAACAACAACAACAACAACAAAAAAACATGCTTCTCTGCCGTTCCTTCGTCTTTTTTCTATACATGTACATTTTTAATCAAAATATTTTATACATAAATTGGCAGTTTCCATTTCCCCAAAAACATTATATTGCCTCAACTTTACCAGGCCTTTAAGAGCCATTTGAAAACAATTTTTAACGGCATAAAAATGGACATACCATAATTTATTTGACCATTCCTTTATCACTGGGTACATTTTTTCGCTGTTTTACTGACGTAAATAACACACTGATAAGCTTCTATGCACAGAAATCTTTCACTGAATCACTAACTTCCTAGGTCAGAAAGTTGGAAGATTTCAAATACTCTTGACCATTACTGATTGTGAAATTGATGTCAGGAAAACCTTCTCCAACACAGCCTCCCTGCTGCTCGGGTGACAGCTCCCCGCCCACGTGCCCCATGTAAACCCAACAAAAATCAGTGACCACAAGTCTAGATGACCTCTATTCAAATGTCACCTTCTATATGGGTTTCGAAGGACATAAAATAATAAGGCCACCATACTTGAACAAAACGGATTCTCCCTCTCTGGTCTTCAAAAATTTTAGAAGTGAAAGGATCTTTTAGAGGTTGTCACTCACGTACTTCTGGAAATTTCCCTGCCGGATGAGAACGGTCCATAAATGTTTGGGCGGCTGACAAGGCAAAGGATGGATTTGGGTTCATCTAATTAAATTTCATTTTTTAAATTTGACTTTGCTTTTGCACAGTTGTCATCTTGCCCTGATGTTTTTACTCATTTCATAGGGCAGGACGGACATCCTCTCCGACACCCACTTGGCTGGGTCATCGGCAGTCCCCAGCCTGAGAAGCCTGGTAAGGGGACCTAATCAGTGTTTTGGAAAAGATACAGCAGTGTGGGAAGAAGGCACTGGACAGAAAAACATCCCCTAACTGAACAGAGGTAACCCCCCAGTGAAGTACAGACACTTTTGGTGACTGGGGGAGGTGACAGCAGGAAGGAGAGCTGAGGGACTCACCATGGGACTGCTGAAGGCTGTGTGCTTGGACAGCATGCTGGCCCTCTTGGCCTCGGCACGGCTGCTGGTGCGCCGGTGTGACCTGGTGCTCTGGCTCCGATGCATGACTCGGATGCTTTGGTGGCTCCCGGTGCTGCTGCGCTGGGGCAGCGAGCCCCCTCTGGGCACCACCTCCTCCTCCTCAGAGTCTGCCTCCTGGTACCTGGCCAGACGCTGGGCTGTGGGGGAGGGGCACTAAGTGACATCGTGGGGAGGCTGGGTGTGATACTGAGGGGTCTAGCTTCCACAAGGCATCCAGCAGGGCACCCTGGGCCCTCACCACCCTCGTTCTCTGATGGCGAGGCCATGTTTGACAGGGGTTTCCACTGAGGGATGGGGGATGTTCTCATTTACATGCACCTTCAGTGGACCCGATGGGGCTTATGTTCTCAACCCCACATCACAGATGAGAAGACTGAGTCTCAGCTGTTAAGGTCATGGGATGCAGGGGCAGGGGGTTGAGATGGCACCCAGGCCCACGGGATGCCAAAGCTCAGGTCCCGCCCGTGATGGCAAAGGGGCCACCCCATCCCACAAAATGTCAGATGTGGGTGGAGATGGGTTCACATACAGCCCCTCTGTTCAGGGGGAGCCCCCATGTGAATGGGGTGGGTGGGCAGGTGGCTGGGAGGCCCACAGAGTAGCTGGGTTCCAGGCTTTGACCTTCATGCCAGGGTCACAGGGCCACCTGCTTACTGGGGCCGTCAGGACAGATCACACATTGAGCATCTGCCTTGCAGTCAAGCAGAAATAACGGTTCTCAGGCTGTGTTGACAGTGCTCTCCTGAGAGGGCTCCTTGCTCAACATCAGGTGGGGAGTAGGTGCTGTCTGCACTCACCCCATGAGGATGAAGCACTTAGCAGCAGGGAGGCTCACATCCTCCTGGGGTTGTACAGCGTGGAAGAATGCTGCCAGAGTTCAGACCCAGCAAGCAGAGCTCCACTGAAGAAGACGGTGATTGTGATGCTGTGCTTGGCTCTTAGGGGGCACCGGGAAGCGACAGTCCCTGAGGCCTCCAGGGCTCTCAGTGAATCACAGAAGTGCACCCATGCTGCTGTTCTTGCTAACAAGGGCTCTCAACACGTGTTCCTGGCTTTGCCCAGTTAGTTCAGCTTCTTCCATCATATGTGAGCAACAGGAGACTATCCATAGGGACCACTCGCACCAAACAAGCAACTCTTAAGAACTTCCAGGGCAGGCCCGGTGCTGGGTGGCAACACAAGGCATTCTAACAGGAGGTGGCCCGTGTGAGGGGCTAAGAGAAGGGTCCCCCGTCTGGGCATGCCATGGTGTGGTCTGTCCTGTGGACCAGGCCTTGAACTCAGCATCTTCTTTGGACTTTTCTTTAGAGATAAGGAAAGGGAAGTCACCTGCCCATGGCCACCAGGCTGGGTAACTGCCAACCCCAGCACTCCACCTCAGGGAGCTCCTAATTCCAGGAGAAAACTCCTGCACATGCCCCCTTTCCCCCCTGGCAGTGAGGTGGTAAGTGGATGGCAAGGAAGGGCAAAGCCTGGACTGGGCCTGTCTAGCTCCTAGGCTTGGACATTATGAGCATGGTGTCAGCCTCCCAAGGGCACATCTGCCCGCCCACCCTCCCACAGCAGTGATCAGATGTTAGCCTGAAAGTGGCCATCCCTCAGGCCGCTGCTGGTGTGTCTGTGCTCTGTGACCAGACAGCAGTGGCCTCAGTGATGCCCTCGGGCTCTTTTGGGAAGATGGAGACAAGGAGCAGGTGATGCTTGGCCCTGGCCCTGAACCGTCACCACGACACGAAGTAGAGAGGGACACGCCCATGGTCTGTGTGGCCGGTTCAGGTACGCATGAGCTGGGCTCAGTACTCAGAGTCAAACCCGCCTGAATTCGTTTTACTAACAGATCTGAGACGTAGGACCATGCGAGCAGCTGCAAAGGGTGCCCGCCCAGGGGCCCGTCAGTCACTGATCACAGCTCTTCTTTAAAACATGCTGCAGAGACACCTGGCTGTTTCCACCTTCCCCAGCAATGCTTTCCTCTGTCTTCTGAGGGCGATGGACCCCTTTGGTTTTATGGTAAGCATCTGACAACTGTGAAAATCCTTCTGTAATCTTGGGATTCTGCCCCCAGAGCATCAGTTCCAGTTCAAAGGCTGACTTCAGACCTGGTCCTCTGACTCCTTTACAAGCAGGATGAGGTCTGCTTTCAGGCCCCCAAGCTCTTCTGCACAAGCCTGGGGAGTCAGGGAAGGGGAGAGCCAGAGAGGGAGGCAGGTGGGCAGATGGGACACTGTTCCTGACCGGTTTTTTTGAGTGGCAAATAAAACATTAAACAAATTGGACACATTCCTATGCCTTCTGTTAATATGATTTATTTTATCATGGAGGATATAGTGGATATCATGATAATTCTTGGTTTTTTAAAACTCACAAAAATCTCATGCTTCCAGCAGATCTTTCCCACCAAATGCCCCTAAAGAAGAGTTTCCTATTGATGCCCCCATGTTGTCCCCCTGTTCTGTACTTGCTTCTGTTTCTGTGGCAAGGTTTCTTTGATGTTGTCAGATGCTGTTCCAGGAAAGAAGGGGAGTCCTGGTTGCAGAGCAGGTGCCCTCTCTCTCAGAGGTGCAATGGCCCCAGAGACACTTCTGTGGTGCAGGGACCCCCTCCTGTTTTGGGTGGGCAGCTGGCTCCAGGAACCCCTCGACTTAGGAAGCAGATGGCTCCCCTATGTGTTCAGAGGGGACAGAGGGAGGCAGCCAAGGATGAGAAAAGGAGAGGTGGGAGGAGGGACTGCCTAAATTCCAAAGTGAGGTGACACTTCCCTCTGGGAGGTCATATCCAGAGGAAAGAACGCAGCATGAACTGCCCAGTGCCCTGCTGAGAATTTGCAGCTGATAACAAGGAGACTGATGTGTGACAAAGGAAACATCTCTTTGCCTCTTGGTGTGACAGAGACCGGGTGCCTCTGAGGTGAGTTCCTCAAGGTTGCCCTCTTTGGTTCTGCCTGTCTGGCAGAAAATGAGTGTTTAAGCAGATGCCCACCACAGCAGATAGTGCAGGAAGCAGGGCGCCATCAGCAATAAGGAGGGGCTTTTTCTATAGAGGCTGGTCCAGAGTTGCTCTGACAGCCTTTCTGTTTTATTCTCCCTCAAAAATCATCAACCCCTGAAGCTGTGTGTGTGTGTGTGTATGTGTGCATGGACGCACACACAGGCACATGGGTATGCAACTCTGATACAGCAGCTCTCTGGTCCTGCCCAGATTGGGAGCCCCCATCCCCAGACTCACCATTTGCATCATGAGAATATTCTATGCCAGACACAGTGCATCTTCGGAAAACCATCTTATTCTCAGTTAAAGTGCCAGTTTTATCGGAGAAGATATACTGTATCTGCCCTAGGTCTTCCGTGATGTTCAGGGCTCGGCACTGCAGCTGTGAGTCTGTCTCCTCATCATACAACTCTATATCCTGGTTAATGAAGTACACTTGGCATACTTTAACAATTTCAATGGAAACGTACAAGGAAATTGGGATCAAAACCTAGGAGACACAAGGCACACAGAATGATTGACTGTGAAGACCCGGGAACTGCGGATTTAGTCCAATCTAAATGACAAATAACTACAACCCCAAGTAGTAGGGAATATACTGTACCTTTCAGAGCTTAAACAAGTTGGCTTAGAGTCAGTATTGTTAAGAGTATTAGGATATTGGCAAAGAGCTTAAACTAGGACAGCCTATGGTGCCACTGCTGACGGAAATCCACTATCTGGAAGTATGGAAACCATGGCTTGTACAGAAGCAAGCGTTTTCATATTACTAAGTTGTGCTTGAGAGAAGCTAGGAGAGGAAAAAGAGAAACACAAAACACATGGCACAGTCAGAGTCCTCATAAGCAACGTCACCTCACACCCAGGCTGTCCCGGGGCTCCCAGTGACAGGAGCGGCCTGTCCCGCAGACACAACGCCACAGCTCAGAAGAGACAGTCTTTTCAGTGGCTGGTTCTGTGCTGAAGGACAATCTCTGTGATGTTGTACAATACAGAGCAGAGGGGAGAGGCTTTGAGAAGAACAGTCACGGTTATGCTTTGACAATTCAAGAATAACCTTCATGAAATCAACGCTTAATTTTTTCTTTATCTCTGGAGTAACAGTATTGAACTGATACTTACGGGCTCAGAATATCACATCCAGACTAACTGGGTTCTCTGGGAAACTTAAGTATATGTTAATGCAACACCTACTACAGGACGAACTCAAGTACATGTGATATAAGACAGCAGAACGCCCCTTCCAGGCAAAGGCTAAGCCAATATCTTCTGTTCACTGTGTCCCTAAGGAGAGTGGCAGAGATGCTTACTGCCCCTCTCCACTCTCACAGGCTTTTGGGGCATAAATTCTCAGTTAGTGATGGAGAATTGTTCAGGGGGCATGGGAACTAATAATAATAATAATAACCAATGCTGCAAAATGTAATGTGATATCCTAAATTGACTCCAGCACATCAGTGGAAAGACTAGTAGAATCCGAATGACGTCTGGAGTTTTGTTGAGACAAAGTACCAAAGTTGGTTTCTCAGGTTGTTTTTTTTTTTTTTGCGGTATGCAGGCCTCTCACTGTTGTGGCCTCTCCCGTTGCAGAGCACAGGCTCCGGACGCGCAGGCTCAGCGGACATGGCTCACGGGCCCAGCCGCTCCGCGGCACGTGGGATCTTCCCGGACCGGGGTACGAATCCGTGTCCCCTGCATTGGCAGGCGGACTCTCAACCACTGTGCCACCAGGGAAGCCCGGTTTCTCGGTTTTGACAACATACCAGAGAAATGTAATACGCTCACATTAAGACATACTGGGTGAGGGACACATGGGAACACTCTGTACTATTTTTTGAAACTTGTCTGTAAACCTTAAAATTATTCTGAAATAAAAATGTAGGTTTAAAACGGGAATAAAAACGCAAACTTAATAGAGAATGGACTTGAGGATATGGGGAGGGGGAAGGGTAAGCTGGCACAAAGTGAGACAGTGGCATGGACATATATATACTACCAAACGTAAAATAGATAGCTAGTGGGAAGCAGCTGCATAGCACAGGGAGATCAGCTCGGTGCTTTGTGACCACCTAGAGGAGCAGGATAGGGAGAGTGGGAGGGAGGGAGACACAAGAGGGAAGAGATATGGGGATATATGTATATGTGTAACTGATTTACTTTGTTAATAAAGCAGAAACTAACACACCATTGTAAAGCAATTATACTCCAATAAAGATGTTTAAAAAAAATGTAGGTTTTTCGGCTCGGTTCTTTGTGGCTGTCTGGAGGGGTGGGATAGGGAGGGTGGGAGGGAGGGAGACAAAGAGGGAAGAGATATGGGAACATATATATATGTATAACTGACTCACTCTGTTATAAAGCAGAAACTAACACACCATTGTAAAGCAATTATACCCCAATAAAGATGTTAAAAAAAAAAAAATGTAGGTTTTTTTAAGAAGTAATTGAGTGGAGGGGGGGTAGGATGAATTGGGAGACTGGGATTGACATATACATACTACTGATACTATATATAAAATACATAACTAATGAGAACCTACTGTATAGCATAGGGAACTCTAGTCAATGCTCTGTAGTGACCTAAATGGGAAAGAAATGCAAAAGAGTGGATATATGTATACATATAGCCAATTCACTTTGCTGTACAGTAGAAACTGGGAAGGAAATCCAAAAAAGAGTGGATATATGTATACGTATAGCTGATTCACTTTGCTGTACAGTAGAAATTAACACAACATTGTAAAGCAACTACACTCCAATAAAAATTAATTAAAAAAAAAAGAAGTAATTGAGTGGAAAAACAAAACAGAACCAATGATTGAAAAACCGACCGCTCAGAGCCTAAAAATCTTAAGAATAGCAAAGGAGAATTTTAACTTGAAAAGCACCCAAGAAAAGATCCTTTAGATAAGTCAGGTGGGAAAACAAAAGGCAACACATTTGTCAGATGAACCTGTGCTCCTCCCAGGTGCAGAATTTGTAGGAAGTTCTTAGCAGACTATGATGACTCAAAGTTCTCATCAGAAAAGTAAAGCAATTGTCATATGGAACTTAGTACTGTTACCTGCAGAACTATTATCATTGTCAAAAACGAATAAACTGCAGCTGTGACTGGGGATAAAGAGGTGCCATCAGACTCAGGGACATCAAATAATGATTTCTTCTCTTGATAGCGATGCACCCATAGTCCATGTCCTGTAGCAAAGTTCAAAGAAGGTCATTCACCCGACACAAGTACATTGGGTTTTATGAGCCCGCCTGGCCACCTAAGAAATCAAAAGCCCAGAGTATTGTTGGCACTACAATCAGAGCACTGGAAGGAAGGCCCCGGGACTTGGACTCTGCCTCACCCCTGGCCTTTCCCATCGTCGGTACTGAATAGCACCACTGGTCATAACACAGGAACTGGACGTGTGCTGGTAGCTGCCAATGAGAAACCCCAGAAAGGAATTTCCCAATGCCTCACTAACCACCAGTCTCAATAGGCTCTGAAATACTGCTTGTTATTGTCCCTGCTTAGAGATTCAAAATTCACATCTCAGACTCTGAAAAGCCAACAGCAACACACATTATTTCATCAACTGAGCCCCACACCTAAATGATGACAAAGCCCTTTTCATGCCCCGTACACCAGTGCCTTTTACCACTGAGTTCCAAGACCATGTCACACCTGTCTGGTGTGTGATGGCAGCTGAGTGGGACACGGTGAAGGTCGTTTACCTGGAGGTCCACGCGCTTCCCTGCCAGGCACTCCTAAAGCAGCATGCCGGTTTGGAGGCCACCAGAAGCTGGGGGCACCAGACTCTGCACACAGCCTAACTGCTAGCCTCTTCTTGGGACCCAAATAATGTTTTCCCTCTTCTCACAGAGTCCCTAATAGTAGCATTTGTGCTTCTACTGCTCTGAGTCCTGTTATCACCAGGTTAGTATCCCTCTTTCCACTGGAATCATTACAGGAGGCATGATTAAGCCGTTCTTCCACCCCAGAAGATGCCAATTCGAAAAACACTAGTTTGCGGAGCTCATTCATCGAAACGTCTCAACATGGCCTTGCCAATGCAAACATCCCGAGTCCAAGCCAGTGACAAATGTGTGTTAATTAGTGCACTGGGTCAGAAGGAGACAGAGACAGCCCAGCAGGGGTCCCCGGCAGCCGTCCAGCAGTGCCCACTCATCGTGACCTCTGAGGAGACTTACCGACGGCCGAAAACAGAGACATACAAACGAGGAGGAGGACACACCAGAGCACGTCGCAGTTCATCTGCCTCTCCAGCCGGCTGCGCTTGTAGCGGGGCCCGCTGTTGTTCAGCAGAGCCTTGGTCTCATGTCCTGCGGGGGAGGCGGTGAGTCAGTGCCCAGCAGGGAAGGGACGGGCTACGCTGATTCCATGGATTGGAAAAGGGTGCTGCCATCCAATGATCCATATGGGATAACTTCAGTCAGAAAAGTAGGCTCTACAATTAATCTCAACTATGTAACCACCACGGGGAAATGCACAGAAAGAAATAGGCTAACATGCTAAGAACACTTCTGGTCCAGATATTATTAGACCAGATATTATTTTCCTGGTTTTGTACAATGGGTTTATGTTACTTTGATAATCAGGAAAAAAACCAAAACAACCAGGAGCAATGTCCAGGAATAGCCAGCCCACCATGCTGAGCCAATGCCATCACAGACAGCAGGTGACACACAGCACCTACCTGCGTAGATGACGATGCCCACGACGGCTTCTGTGTTTCGGATGGTGCAGCCTCGAAGCAGCAGGTTTTCTTTGTAGAGCCCAGCCTTTTTCCCGTTGTTGTGTATGCTGTCATGGAACAGTTGGCATGTGTCACGTGGGTGCTTACATGGCCTCACAGCTCAAGCAGCACCACTCTGGGAAGGAAGGCCTAGACCCGGGGCTGAGGAGGGGAGGGGTGGAGGGTCTCAATGGACCTTTGTAAGAGCTGAGATGGGGCTGGCACTGACCAGTAACTGGGCTTCTAGAAGCCCCTCCAGAGCCTGATGGTTGTTTGTTTACTTTGCCCACGGGCTTTGTGAAATAAGAAATATATGATTTTGTCTCTGCCCCCCGTTCCTGACACAGGGCTCCTGACACCTTTGTAAACAGAAGTCCTAGGATAATCTTTTGTTCTAACATTTAGTCTTTGACTCCAGTTCCTGGCACAGAGCTCCTAAAATTCTTGTAATTTCCTAAGTGATCAGAGCACTAGCAACATCTTTTGTTCTAACATTTGGTCTTCGAGACCGGCTGTTCCTGACACACAGGACTGAGCCTGTCACCTGTGGGATCTGACGCTCTCCCCAGGTAGATAGTATCAGAATTGAGTTAGACTGTGGGACACCCAGCTTGGTGTGGGAAAAACACACACGTCAGAACTGGTACCAGGACCATTGCAGGCTTCATGCCACAGGGTCTGGCCACAGCTAGAGAGGGCAGAGCCGGGAACTGGGGGACTGAGTTGGAAAGCTGGCCCAGGAAGGCCCTGCCAGGTGATCTCTGCCCATGTCCTGATCATCACAGAGAAAACTTCTCCTCACCAGTACCTCATGTTGTCACAAGGGTACAAATATTTCTCTAGAAAAGGGGATCATATTGATTTCAGCAATATTTCCTACATTCTGTTTTTCTTATTAAAAGTCACACAATTATTAGAAATATTAACATGTTAAATTTGAAATGTGGTAAACTCCATGATACAATTTTATACATTTGGTTTCACTGCTATTTAGATTCAGAGAATAGCCCACGTTTAAGCAACTGCTTTTCAAACTCATCCTCTTGACCTACTAATGGCAGCCGCACCCTCACCCCTGTTGGTCAGGAGTATGCTAGGGCCACACTGGGGTGGACGAGGTCTTGGGAGCCTGATGAATGGGTCACAAGGGGAGGCCCTGGAGGCTTTCAGAACTAGAGCAGGGGCCCAGCCTAACCTACATCAATCAGGCAGTGCCACCTGCCTTCCAAGAGGAGGGCCTTCCAAGAAGCCACCTTCTCACACCCTAGGTGGACAGCCCTCCCCAGCCCTCCCACACACCCACAGCCCAAACTCCTTCTCTGAAGTCACGAAGGATCCCTGCAGGTGTCACCCCTCCCACCAGCTCCTAGCAGTGCCCACTGACCAGGGAGCAGAGCTAGTTTGGAGAGGTACAAGGTCAGAAGAAGCCGTTAAGGGTTCCAGGAAAACAGCACTTCCTGCCACTTCTGGATCCTGGTCACCTGCATGAGGGATGGGGCTGCCCCTCAACCTAAGACACAATCTATATTCTTCACAACCAGGGAAATCAATATATTTTATGGTGAAGAAAAGAAGCTAAACAATAAAGAAAAGGCCAAAACACCATGCTGGGGGGACACATTTCCTGCAAGCCTGTTATTTACCAACATGGCACTGGTTCTTCTGCAGAACTCATGCAAAGGAACGTGCAGGAGCAGGGCCAATCAACACTGTGTGATGCCCTCTCCCTCCCCACCACCTTTTGGCAATTCCAGAATAAAGTTCTGTTTTAAAAAGAGATTCAAGACTGGAAACCTCAGTGCCAGCTAAAGCATCAAGAGGCCCGAGTGCATGAGACGTTACACACAAAACCCAGCTCCCGAGTCAGGAGTGAGAGAATGCCCACCGCCACGGTTCTCTCCTCAACAGCCGCGCATGGAAACCATTTCTCAGGACAGCAGTCAAGGATGAACCATCTAAATCAAACCAGTCATGCTTATTCAGAACAAGAGATGAACTCAACAGAAACAAGAAAAGGTATTACGTTAAGCTTCCTTTGATGTGACCTACGCCTTTCAGTAACTACTGTGCTTTCTAATCAGACCAAGCCAGACCAGAACTGATCACAGCAGGTGTATCGGCCTGTTTAAGGCCCCTGGTGGCATACAAATGGCAATGGGGGCTGTGCTCTGAGTGAATCTCCCTGCATCAGAAGGGGAGGAAGGCTGGAGAACGGCGTCACCCTAAAGGTGCTTGGCAGTGCAAGTGCTGCCTTGGTCTCCTAAGGGGGAAAGTCCCTGCCAAGGGCGAATAGGCCCAGGATCCAGTAGGCATGAGGCTTGACTCCAGGAAGACGTGCAAGAGAATATGAGCCCATCACACTGCCCTCAGCACCTACCTCTGTCTTATGGCTTGACATGTGTCCCTGCTAGAATTCATATGTTGATGTCCTAACCCCAGTATCTCAGAAAGTGACTGCATTTGGAGTTAGGTCTTTAAAGAGGTAATTAAGTTAAAATAAGGTCATATGGATGGGCCCTAACCCCATATGACTGCTGTCTCTGTTAGAAAAGATTTGGACACAGAGACGGACAAGCACAGAGGTTACGATGATGTGAGGGCACAGGGAGAAGGTGGCTGTCTGCAAGCTAAGGAGAGGGGCCTCAGGAGACACCAGTCCTGCTGACACCTGGATCTTGCTTCCACCCTCCAGAACTGTGAGACAATGCATTTCTGTTGTTTAAGCTGCGGGGTCTGTGTCAGCCCAAGCAAACGGATACATCCCTTAACATTTAATCTGAGCCACGTAGAAGAGCTCCTTTAGTTCAAGTCCCCATTGTTTGACTCATCCAAACAATCTCTTCTAAATCGAAACTGTCCAAAAGTGCCCTGGGAAATACCACATGCAGGACATGACAGGGCTCAGCTAATAAACTCCTGCCTGGCTGTTCTTTCTCAAGAGAGGCTGTGTCTCCTGATGGGCTTGCATGTCAGCTCTGTCCTTCTAAGTCCCAGCACTCAGAGGTGCTGGGGGGAATCAACCATCTGTCCAGACACAGGTGCAAGGTGCCATGGTTGTGATGCAAGAGAAGGGGGACCTTGGACAGCAACCTGCAGCCGCCCCTCCCTAGGTCACATCACCTCTAGCACCCAGACCTGGGTCTCTTCTCTGCTCCATTGCTGGCCGAAGCTCCACCACTGACTGGTCACACATGGACCAGCACCCTTGCTGCCATTGTTGACTCCCCTCCTTATTTTTATATCCACACAGACATCAGTTTTCGATTCTGCCCCCTTCGGTAGCTATTCCTTTTTATTTTTTGGTATCTTTATTGGAGTACATTTGCTTTACAATGTTGTATTAGTTTCTACTGTACAACAAAGCGAATAAGCTATATGTATACACATATCCCCATATCCCCTCCCTGTTGAGCCTCCTTCCCACCCTCCCTATCCAACCCCTCTAGCTCATCACAAAGCATCGAGCCGATCTCCCTGTGCTATGCAGCAGCTTCCCACTAGCCATTTATATTTGGTGGTGTATATATGTCAATGCTACTCTCTCACTTCGTCTCAGCTTTCCCTTCCCCCACATGCCCTCAAGACCATTCTCCACATCTACGTCTTTATTCCTGCCCTGGCACTAGGCTCATCAGTACCGTTTTTTATATTCCATATCTGTGCATTAGCATCCAGTATTTCTTTTTCATTTTCTGACTTACTTCTCTCTGTATGACACTCTAGGTCCATCCATGTCATTACAAATAACTCAATTCCGTTCCTTTTTAGGGCTGAGTAATATTCCACTGTATATATGTGCCACATCTTCGTTATCCATTCATCTGTCGATGGACACTTAGGTTGCTTCCATGTCCTGACTATTGTAAACACAGCTGCAATGAATATTGCGGTACATGACTCTTTTTGAATTATGGTTTTCTCAGGGAATATACCGAGTAGTGGGATTGCTAGGTCATATGGTAGTTCTATTTTCAGTTTAAGGAACCTCCATACTGTTCTCCATAGTGACTGTATCAATTTGCATTCCCACCAGCCGTGCAGAAGGGCTCCCTTTCCTCCACACCCTCTCCAGCATTTATTGTTTGTAGATTTTTTGATAATGGCCATTCTGACTGGTGATACCTCTTTGTAGTTTTGATTTTCATTTCTCTAATGATTAGTGGTGTTGAGCATCTTTTCATGTGTTTGGTGGCACTTTGTATGCCTTCTTTGGAGAAATGTCTGTTTAGGTCTGCCACCCATTTTTGTATTGGGATGTTTGTTATTTTGATACTGACCTGCATGAGCTGCTTTTATATTTTGGAGATTAATCCTTTGTCAGTTGCTTCATTTGCAAATATTGTCTCCTTTTCTAGGGGTTGTCTTTTTATCTTGTTTATGGTTTCCTTTGCTGTGCAAAAGCTTTGAAGTTTCTTGGGTCCCATTTGCTTATTTTTTATTTTATTTCCATTACTCTAGGAGGTGGGTCAAAAAAGGTCTTGCTGCGATTTATGTCAGAGTGTTGTGCCTATGTTTTCTTCAAAGAGTTTTATAGTGTCTGGCCTTACATTTAGGTCTTTAATCCATTTTGAGTTTATTTTTGTGTATGGTGTTAGGAAGTGTTCTAATTTCACTCTTTTACATGTAGCTGTCCAGTTTTCCAGGCACCACTTATTGAAGAGGCTGTCTTTTCTCCATTGTATATTCTTGCCTCTTTTGTCAAAGATAAGGTGACCATATGTGTATGGGTTTATCTCTGGGCTCTCTACCCTGTTCCATTCATCTGTATTTCTGTTTTTGTGCCAATACCATACTGTCTTGATTACTGTAGCTTTGTAATATAGTCTGAAGTCTGGGAGCCTGATCCCTGCAGCTCAGTTTTTCTTTCTCAAGATTGCTTTGGCTATTCAGGGTCTTTGTGTTTCCATACAAATTGTAAAATTGCTTGTTCTAGTTCTATGAAAAATGCCATTGGTAGTTTGATAGGGATTGCATTGAATCTGTAGATCGCTTTGGGTAGTAGAGTCATTTTCACAATGTTGATTCTTCCAATCCAAGAACATGGTATATCTCTCCATCTAGTTGTATG